AATTTATTCTATGCTTTTGATAAGCAAAAATTAATTTGTCTTGCTAAATTTAACTGAAAGCTTATTCTGCAATTGATTTAAGTCTTATTCTTATTGATTAACTTGAAACTTATATTTCTAACATGCACTATAGCGGGGAGCTCACAAGACTAAAATGCGTTGGAGATCTTAAAAAGAAGTTGGATGAGACGAGAAAAAATAAAGTGTGCCCACTAGCTTATTTGCTTATTACACTTGCATCAATCCTTCCAGTTGTCGCTGCTGCGGTTGAGAGAGTATTTTTTGCTATAAATATTGTGAAGAATCGCTTCCAGAATCAAATAGAAGGTTAATGGATGAATGATAATTTAGAGGGCCGTTTTTTTCGCAACTCGAATTAGAGAATTTGAACTGAAAAGTGAATTAATGTGTGAGAAAATATTGTTGTAAAAAAGTTGTATTTGAATTTTTATGAGACAAAACATTGTAGCGAAACTTTTGAGTTCTCATTCGAGTTATGAAAAGAAATGGCCTTAATTGTGTTGATTGAGAAAAGCATTTTTAATTGTATTGACAATGAGGTTATTATGCACCACTTTTAAAGTACAAAAGTTGTATTGTCATATTATATAAAATTTTATTATTAAGAATATAAGAAGTTTACTCCCTGCTCTCTCTCTTTTTTTTTAGTTACAGTATATAATTCTTATGCCTTCTTTGTTCCATATTAGAATAAAAAATCCTGGATCGTCCTTGATAATGTCTCAATAACCATTAGCAGCTTATCAAAGGAAAAAAGAAAGAAAAAGGATACAAAAACAAACATGTATAGAACAGAAAAACTACAAATTATATATTGCACTTTTATATCTTTGTACACATTATAATATTAACTAGACTATACCACATAAAATCATATTAACACCCTAGTTGCTTTAAAAAAACATTTTAAAGAAATGTCAAAAATTGATAAGTTTGAGGAAAAGTTGAAACTAATCAATTTTTGGCGAGACAAACTAAAACTGCCCGCATGGCCTCACCAAGTGTTGCTAGTAGACTCCTCATAATAACTCAAAAAGATTTGCATACTCCTCCCAGTGTTCCAGTTGTCCAAATGCGGTAGCAAATCTAAAAAAGATAATCCCAAGAGCTTTAAAAGATCACAAATGTTCAATTCTTGCTGAAGGAAATCTTGAAAAACGTCATTGTGAGGAATGAATTCTTAAGAAACCTTACAATAAGGCTCGTAATTTTTGACTCAATCAATGGCAACATATTTGTTAAGATATAAATTTATTTACTCCAAGTCAACCATTGGCTTTAATCTATTGTCAATAACGTGAGGCATTCTCGATCAATAGATCATCAATAGGTCATCTATACTTTGGACTAATTACATAGACTTTAGAGCCCCACTTTTTGCTTCCTTCTCGATGTAGTCGCTGCTGGATTAATTAACGTGTTAAATGTGCATTGGATGCACTACATTTGTCAAATTTACACATTTACAGACTGAATTGGTTTAAACTAAAGATGAACACTCCTAAATGCTTTTCTCCTCAATAATTTTACAGATGTTAACAAAATGTGTTATATTATAAGAGTTTGGCAAGTTGAAATGGTAAATTACAAAAATAAAAAATTTACATAAAGTTCCAAAGCAATTGTGTTAAAACCCTAACTAAAATTACTTTTTCTAATCATTGTTTTTGAAGTAAGATAAAAAATGTAGATGAATAAAATAATAATGGTACTAATATCTGATTTTCATTCATTGTAAGCTACCAAATAACTTAAGGGAAACTACTATCCTTTATATTATTTTAATTTTCTTCCTCTTACATATTTTCTTTCCATTCTTTTCTCTCTTCTTCCTACCATACTAAGGTGTCATTCGATTTATAAGTTCAAACAAGAAAATATGAGAAAAATACTATAACAAAAAGGTTTAGACCGTAGTTTAAATCCACAGAACAAATGCGAGCTAATATTCTTTCATCGTTCATTCTATTTTTTTTTTCTTTTGTCTTTTTGTCTTTTTTTTCCTCATTCTCGGCCTTTTCCTCTTGCACATTCTTTTTTTTTTCTTGTATAATCTTATATATTCATCTTGAAATCACTATCGTAAATGTACCTTTTCCTTTTAATTTATCCCTATTACACGAAAATTTTGCCTTTTTTACTTTTGTTTTAAAAATTTATTCTTATTACACAACATTTTTTTTTCAAAGATGTCATTTCTTAAATATTATTTTTCATCCTTTGAAGTATTATTTTATCAATTTACCTCAGTTTTATCCATTATGCTTACTTTATTTCCCTTGATATCTTACTTTGATATCTTATATCTTATATTTTGAGAGGTGTATCATCAAAATACTTATTCCTTCTAATCTGTTCTTATCACGTAATAGCCTTTTCTACTATATGTCCTCACTTAGAACTTTTCTATATCATAAAAAATATTATTTTTTAGAAATGAAGTCTTTATAGCTGTTATAAGATTTTGAATAAGACATGGTGTTTTGTCATTTCTTTCCATTTTTTTCTTTTCTTTCGTCTTTTTTTTTTCTTTTTCTTCCTTTTTTTTTCTTTCATTCTTAATTTTTTTTTTCTCTTATACATATCGGTTTTACAATCCTATATCTTCATCTTAAAATGTGTATCATCAAAATACTTTTTTTTCTTTTAATTTATACGTATTACATAGCAATTATTTTCAAATATGTTCTTATCAAATATTCTTTTACATGCTTCCGCACTTTAACCCTAAGTATCGACCCCTCCTTTATTCACAAACCATGCGTCGTCATTGTTCTTCAATATTGTCTTTAAAATGAGTCACGTAACCCACACGTGTTTAAAATCATTAAAAAAAGTGGCATTTTATTGAAGGAAATATCAAAAATTGCAACTTCTAATAAGTTTGAATTTATTTTGTGTTGCTTTAAATTGTAAGGGATAAAATAAGATAACCCCTATTATTTGGGGCTAAATTTGAGATTAACCGTTGTTTTAAATGGTCACAATCACACTCAATGAGTACGTATTCTAACTAGTATTAAATAAAATCGATCAATAATTGAGTCGTATGCTAAAAGTGAATTTGAAAATGGATCAATGCTATGTTATTCATTTACACTGCGCCATGGTGTTGGGTGGTAGTGTCTCTTTGTAAGTTGAGAATTTAAAAGAGTAAATTGCACTATTGCACACCCAAATTATTCAGGTTTTATATAATGAACCTTAAACTTTTAATTTTGGTAAATTACACCTTGAATGTTAACATCAGCAATTGAAATCTAATAGCTAGTGAGGTTATCAAATTGATATTTTAAAACACGAGATTTATATGTGACATGGTTTGAAAAGTGACGACATATACCTTTCATGTGCGAATTACTTGTTTTACGTGTGACTTGTCAAAATTGAAAGTTTAAGGTGCATCATGTAAAAAACGAATAATTTAAAGTACAACGGTGTAATTTACCCAATTTATTGCACCCAATTTAAAATGAAGGTAATTTTCAGTCCTATTTAGTTGATCGGCTCTTTCTTTGGATGGTTTCTCTTTGAGAAAGGGGCTCTTTTTGCTCCCTCCGTTTTATGTTAATATGTTTTTAGTTTCGCCTTGCATTTGTTGTTTCTTTCTTTGATCCTTTCTCTCTTTTTTTTTTCAAAAAAAAAAAAAAAACCGGAAATTCCCCAGCTAGTAGCAAAAATGGCCTTCCATTATACTTCAAATAGTAAGTAGAACAATAATGGAGATAAAAATTGCATTTTAGAAAAGGACAAACAAGAGAGTTTGCAAAAAGGGGAAAAAATAGATGCTATTGTTTTTGGATATTTGAGGTGTGTTCGGCAGCCTAAAAATTTTTTAAAAAAGTAACTTGAATTATAACTTTATTTAAGTTTATGTTCTTTTAAGTTTGAACTCGAGTTTAAAGCTAAAACTTAAGTTCATGTTTCTCCTTCTACTCGAGTTCAGAAACTCGAACTCAAATTAATGAACAGTATTTTTTTTATTCTTAAAAATGCTATAACTTTTTCGTTTTAATCCTGATTGAGATGATTTTTTTTCTATACGTTGACAACGAAAAGATGAATAAAACCCCACCTATATACCCTATTAAAATTTTTCATCACCATTGAGTTTTTATTAAAATACTATCTAAATACAAATTCAAGTTTTGACTCACTCAAACACAAACTCAAAAAGATTCTTATCTCAAACCATAACTCAAATGTACACAATCAAACATAAATTCAAGTTACAACTTTAACTCAAATTATAACTCAAACTCAACTTAAGATCTTTATTCAGGAATACCTAACTCAAAAATATAAAAGAACAATCCCTTATTAGTCCACGTCAATTCACCATTGAAGAGAGATTATCAATGGATTTTTATGCGTGCATATTTTTAAATATTAGATTAATTAAATACAACCCTCATCGATAAGGTATTTTTCATATAACACAATAGAATTTTTCATTAAATATATATATATATATATATCTTAATTTCATAGTAACCTTAAGCCTCGTTCATTTCACCGATTTGAGTTTTCAATTTTAAATTTTTACAGTAAAAAATTTTCAAAAAATGTCACATCTAACTTTTTTTGTTACAGTAAAAAGCTCTTAGAAAATGTCACATCTCAGCTCGAATTGAAAACTCGAATCCGCGAAGTGAACGAAGCCTTAATTCCCTACTAAAACAGCTGACGTGTCATTGTTTTATTCCATTTTTCAGCCATTGAAAGGAGGAAAAAAAAATCTTTTAAACTTACCGTTGCAGGATTAAGAAAAACGTTTTGCAAAAAAAGTGAAGAAAAAAAGACCACAAGTACAAAATATCATGAAGAATATACAAAAGCAAAAAGTTAGAAAAACAAAAAATCCAGCTCGTTTATCAGGAATTTTTGCCCGCCTTACCTAGTTTGCCCTCACATTCAGCCTGCAGCTATAACGACTCTCAAGGCTATAATCGTCAATCCATCTATTCGTGTTCTTTGTAATCTTCGTTCAAGATCTCTCTATCCCCGTCTCTCTCTCTCTCTCTTGTTTCGATCAATCGATCTAAACTCAAACAGAGAAATTGAAAAAAAAGAGGCAAATTCTGATACTCTGAACTCTCTTGTCTCTCTCCGTTTCGCCCGCTAGCGCAGTGATTACGCAAAAGAGGTTCGATTTCCGGTTTTGCCCGTTCCCCATTATCGTTCTGCGAGATCGCTTTTTGAAGAATTTTGATTCTCATTTTCCAATGCTTTGTAATTTGTTATCTGTTTGAATCATAATTGAAGTTCGAGGTAATTCGGAGTGTGTACAGTTTATAATTTATTGAATTTTCCGTGGATGAATTTGGGATAATCCGTCGTCACAATTAGAGCTATGATTTTAGGTTGTTGTTGATAAATTTGTGTTTTTTACGCACTTGATAAAATTTTTAGTCTCAAAAGTACTGACGTTTTTTTTTGTTTGATAACGTATTCATTGTTTTAGTCAATATGGACGGGATTTAACAGGAAAAAAAAATTCTAGTGATGACATTTTAAGGTTTTGGTTTTATGTACAATTTGACATATAGGAGTAAAAATCTTCTTTTATGGGAATAGTAAGCATGCCCATTTGATTAGGAATGGTAGATATTTTGTTGGTTGTTGCAACTTCAATTTGCTTTTTGTTTAGAATAGTTTGAGTTTGTGTTGAAAATCATTTAGTTCATTCTTAACTGATGAGAGTTAAGGACTGATGTTCTTATATCATTTCGCAACTTTTACCGGGTCTTCTGTTATACTCGTTTTTCTGCTGTTCTTTCTCTTTATGGTAAAATATGATTTCTGTTGTTGTTGGTGAATTAGATGAAAGAGAGTGGAGATGGGATCAAGAGTGATAGACCCTCCAAAACTTCATCCGTCAGCTCTCTTCCACTCATTTTGGACATAGACGACTTTAAGGTGATAAGACTTGGAAGTACACTACGTTTTTCATATTTTGTTACATTTGGGCGTTACCATGAAATTACTTGTTGAAGAAATAAACTTTATGATAAAAACTGTAATGAATCGTAGGGGGACTTTTCTTTCGATGCATTATTCGGTAACTTGGTGAATGAGCTTCTCCCATCTTTCCAAGAAGAAACAGATTCATCTGAAGCACACAACAATGTCAGTGGTAGTGATTCATTGCCAAATGGGCATGCACGACTGTCAGCGGATGCAGCAAAATCAGCCCAGGGCCTATCTAGCCCTCTATTTCCTGAAGTAGATAAGCTCTTATCTTTGTTCAAAGATTCTTGTAAAGAGTTGGTTGGTCTTCGGAAACAGGTATGATTTTCAGACTGCACAAAGAGTGGAATTAGAAAGTTGCTATACTATATTGCTAATTTCTCATTTTTCATTTTTCTTTGGTTGAAGATTGATGGGCGACTTTACAATCTTAAGAAGGATGTCTCTGCACAAGATTCTAAGCACCGGAAAACATTGGCTGAGGTTTGTTAGAGGGCGTATTTTACCCGATTGTATGTGGAGAAAATTTTGAGCAAACAAATCACAAGGAGAAAAAAGCAACAAATTATTTAGGAAATTTTGAAATTCTGTACTTGGATACAAATAAATAAAATTATTCTGATAATTTATTTATTTTATTTGGTGGGGGGCGGGAGGGAACTAATCTGTTTGGACTTGCCCAATCACTGTGATTGTACATGATGTACTTTGAATACTTAGATTTATTTATGTTGGCTCTATTCTTGAATTAAATCACAAACTTGATTGTTGATTATGTATCAGTTGGAGAAAGGTGTAGATGGCTTATTTGATAGCTTTGCGAGGTTAGATTCACGTATTTCAAGTGTTGGACAGACAGCTGCAAAAATAGGAGATCATTTGCAGGTGAAAATTGTCCCAACCCTGATTACTGTATGCTTGTAATGCTTTCTTAGTTATGCTAGTATCTGCTGACTTCAATTGTATTTATGTTTTCCATTTGTTTGAATTTCTTGTGTCAGAGTGCAGATGCTCAGAGAGAAACGGCTAGTCAAACAATAGAACTGATAAAGGTACTTTTAAAATCAATGCTTTGTGTATTCTACTCTTTATTTGGAATGAGCTAATCCTGTGCTGTAATTTGATGCTGCAGTACTTAATGGAGTTCAATAGCAGCCCAGGCGACCTTATGGAACTTTCACCCCTATTTTCTGATGATGCTCGTGTTGCTGAGGCTGCATCAATTGCACAAAAATTACGTAAGGCGGCATTTTATTCTTCTAAAGCTGCATAAATTATGATCTTTAATGTCAACTTCTCTGTTAGGACTTATAAGCTCCCTTCTTGATTGGATCGTTCTAATAACTGCTTATCTATATACTCCTTGGAAGATCATTTATATTGTGGTTGCCATTATATTGATTTAGGCTTGTCTTAAAAGTATAAATGTCTCTCTTTCCTTTTGTTTAAGTTATATTTACATGAATAGTTCTATTTTTTGATCTGTGGTCTCTTGCATGGAAACAGTTTCCTTCGAAGATCATTCATTATTATATCACCTTTATGCATTTCTTTTTTTTAGCATCCACATTTGTTAAATAAAGAATTTGCAAAGTGGATTAACATTGATGGAACGCTTATTAGTTTTAAAAATAATGTAAACTAAAAAAAAAAATTTGCAGATCCTTTAATGGATTCTTTCATCAACATTTAACTAGAAGCTAATCATTAGTTTGGTCCGGTGATGATGATAAATACCTTTTTTTTTATGAAATAATTTGGAGGTTTATGCTTAGCAAATAGGTAACACCACAATTCTAGATCACAATACTGATCTTTTATTGGTTTTTCAGTGGGTATTTTGATGTTAAATTAATGCTTTAGTGTTTCTTTGTTTTGTTTTGTTTTTATGTTTTTCAGTAATATGAATGACTCTTAGCTTATAGGAGATTTATGTTGGTCTAGGGTCGTTTGCCGAGGAAGATATCGGAAGACAAGGCATAACTGTACCATCAGTTGCAAGCAACACAACAGCTAGCAGAGGATTGGAAGTCGCAGTTGCAAATCTTCAGGACTACTGCAATGGTATGCTATCATTTCCTTGAGAATGCTTTACTGCATTTACTTTCATTACACCATGAAATCACATGAGTCTAAAAGGGGAAGACTTTTATAAGAAAAAGAAGTGGCTGTTAGAACAAATTTAGATTGATTGATAGCGGATGGAGATTACACACACACACACATGAAAAATAGATCACGTGGATAATTTATCATGTTTCCCCAAAACAATAAGAAAAAAATTTAGAGCTCTTCGTTATATATTTATTGAGACCAGACGAATTCTTGAAATGGATGTTTCGTTTTGGGGAGCAATATTTTCAGTGATTACAACAGACGTCGAATTGGTTTCAGTCTTTTATTTCTTCTCTTTTGTGTAGAACTGGAGAACAGATTGCTGGCTAGGTTTGATGCTGCATCACAAAGAAGAGAATTATCCACCATGTCAGAATGTGCTAAAATTTTATCTCAGGTGACTACTATTTTAGACCTTGTAAATGATAAGCACCCTTATAAGCAATCCTGATGTAGGAAGAATAATAGAATTAGTGTATTAGTTTAGTAATTTTGCTAAAGTCTTAATAACCCCATAAGGGGAAAACCCCTAAATTGGAGAGAAAACTAAACTTTGTATTCAATTATCAAAATATTCAAGTCCCTCTTGTTACAATAGCTAAAGTGGCTATTTATAGACCACTTACAAGACAATAACAAAATATCAACATTGACAAATGACATAATAATAAAAGAAATAGTTTCCCCCTAAATTGGAGAGAAAACTAAACTTTTGTATTCAATTATCAAAATATTCAAGTCCCCCTATAACAATAGCTAAAGTGGCTATTTATAGAGCACTTATAAGACGATAACAAAATGTCAACATTGACCAACGAAGAAACGGCAATTAAACTAAGTATTAGGACTTTAGCAAAATTACTAAGCTAATACACTAATTCTATTATTCTCCCTACATCAAACTCCTAACTTTATGAATTGAGAGATCATAATATGCTTGAGCTGGCTTTTGCTTTTTTGGTTGACTTCCAGTTACCATAGTTCTCCTTGCCTTTTCCCAAATATTAAGAGCTGTCTTTCTGTTCATTATTGTCAGTTTTCTTGATAAGTTTTAAATTGATTCTTAAGTGTATCCAGTATGCTTAAACAATTGTTTTCCAACTCTCAAATTGTAAACTGAATTAGTACTTCATCTATTATTCCTATAGTTGCTTATTTGAAGCATAAGTAAACATAGCTTAATAAATTTTCTCGTGACATCTATACTATAAGTTGTTTTGATAGTTTTAATTTGATCATAACTCATAATGCTACATTTTACGCAAAAATCTAGCTGCTCCAAAATACTCGTTGACAGATGCTTTTCATTTTCTTTGTCCTCTCTCTGGGAAGAGCGGAGGGGAGGGGCAGGGAAATTGAAGAGGGTTATGATTGAGTCATCTTATGCTGGTGAATATTCGGTTTTCACGATATTGGTTTGGCGTGTGTGTGTCCACGCTTAAAGCAGTATTTTGTGATCCTATGTTTTAGAGATAAACCGGATATTGCTGCAATGTAATCTTGCTATCATTTGAAGAACCTCTCCCATTTTATCTCATTGGAATTTGGTCAATTTGTGACGCAGTTTAACAGGGGTACTAGTGCTATGCAACATTATGTGGCAACACGTCCAATGTTTATTGACTTGGAAGTCATGAATGCAGATACAAGATTGGTTCTTGGTGACCACAGTTCACAGGCTACTCCTAGCAGTGTTGCTCGAGGCCTTGCTTCCTTGTACAAGGAAATTACAGGTCTTGATATTTTCACTGATTCTCATACAAGAGGTTGAATTCTTTTATAGTCTTTTTGTGATATCTTTTTGGTTTATCTTGCAGATATTGTACGTAAGGAGGCAGCTACAATAATGGCTGTATTCCCTTCTCCTAATGAAGTAATGTCAATTTTAGTTCAGGTAAATAGTAAATTTACTCCTATTAGCACGTGTTCAAGTTACGGCAGTATTAGTCAATACTTTTGTTATTATAACTAGATTTTCAACATCCTGTGCAGCGTGTTTTGGAACAAAGAGTTACGGCCCTTCTAGACAAATTATTAGTGAAGCCTTCTCTTGTAAACCCACCTCCTATGGAAGAAGGTGGACTTCTTTTGGTGAGTAGAATTACCAAGTGTGTTTCTATTCCCCTTTCTTTCCTCAGCGAAGTCTATTTCAAACTGACGGGGTATTATTGATCAACGTGGTGTGGCAGTATCTGAGAATGCTGGCAGTGGCTTATGAAAAGACTCAAGAACTTGCTAGAGATCTGTGCGCGGTGGGATGTGGAGACTTGGATGTTGAGGGTAATGAATCGAGTGTAGAAGTTTGTACACTTTCTTTCTTATGTAGTGAATGCTAATAATCATGTTGATTATGATTACGAGTATTTTTGTCATTACTAGAGGGCATAGCTAGTACAGTATATTAATGAAGAATTCTAAGAAGGCGCATTTTCTTTTATTTATCAGGCCAGTAAATGAGTGAGCACCTATAAACTGAGATATTGTTTTATATCTGCTTCGCACTGTCCTTGACTTTTTGTCTTCACAGTAAAAGGACAAAATCTTCTTAGAGTACTTTTTTCTTTCTTCTTGAGTTATTACCTGCCTAGTAATGTTTTATAGGTTTTTGAACGTCAAACGTGACCTCATTTAGTTGTCATGTTTTCTATTCTTTGAAATTTCCTTTATGTGATTGTAAAATACTGGGATCTTAATAAAAAGTCGATCTGATTGTTCAGGCCTCACAGAGTCTCTGTTTTCTTCTCACAAGGATGAATATCCCGAACATGAGCAGGCCTCCCTCAGACAACTTTACCAAGCCAAAGTTTGTTCAAATGCATCCTAGAAATTTCAACACTGTTGTTGCTCTATTAGAAATAATGCATAATACGTGACTTATGTTTTGCAGATGGCAGAACTGCGTGCTGAAACTCAGCAGGTATCGGACTCAACTGGAACAATTGGGCGCTCAAAAGGAGCTTCAGTGGCATCTTCCCACCAGCAAATATCTGTTACTGTTGTGACAGAGTTTGTGCGCTGGAATGAAGAAGCAATTTCCCGGTGCAGTTTGTTCTCATCTCAAGTAATATTTGCTTCCCCTATTGATATTGCATCTACATGTAACTATTGATATTTTATACATTTATGCCTCATATAACTTTTTTGCCCCAAATCTTTGTTTTGGACATCAACAATTATCAGCGAGATGTTACTTAAAATCTGTAAGTAATGCATCAAAAAGTTGGCTAAAAGATTTGAATTTTAAGGTTTATGGATTTCAAAGGTGGTGTCTGGGTGATGAATGGTAACTGAGCTGAGCCGACATGTACTAAAGGGTTTTTAGAAAGCTCACCTTGCTGGATTCTTTTCAGAAAGCAAATATATTTTAAAAATCCAGAAGGCTATCTTGGCATATCAGGAATCTTTGTGTTCGTATTTGAACAGAACTTTTTGGTGCAAATTCAATTTTTTTTTTTTGGAATTTTTGTGAGATAAAAAACTGTTAGCAAAAAGGTTTTGAACCAGAAACCCTTTACTCAAAGATCAAGATCCAATATCAGCCTTGAAATATGGATTGCAAATTTACAATAAGACTTGTGTTGTTCTTGGTTCATAATTTTGCTGGTTTTGTTTTGAACTTTCAGATACTTAGTCAACTATGTTCAAATTATTTTTACATGTTCTTGTGCAGCCTGCTACCCTTGCAACCAATGTCAAAGCAGTTTTCACTTGTTTGCTAGACCAAGTAAGTTGGTTACTCAAGTGGATTCCTTCACCAAATGTGTCTCATAAGCACTCAACTATTTCTTCGTTCTTTGTTTTTTTATTTTTTTCAGGTCAGTCAATATATAACAGAAGGACTTGAACGTGCTAGAGATGGCCTGACAGAAGCTGCAGCTTTGAGGGAAAGATATGTGCTGGGCACTGGTGTTAGTAGAAGAGTGGCTGCAGCTGCTGCATCTGCTGTAATGACCTAATCACGTATTTGTATATGTATTTCAAACCGTGGGCACCGTTATCTTTATGATCTGCTTTTATTCGAAGCAATTTGTAGTCTACCCTGAAAATGGTGGACTTAAGGTGCATTATATGGTTCCTGTGCAGGCAGAAGCTGCTGCTGCTGCTGGGGAAAGTAGCTTCAGATCTTTCATGGTCGCCGTGCAGCGTTGTGGTAGCAGCGTGGCTATAGTTCAACAAGTATGTTGGGATACATTTAAATTTGTTGAATATGGCTCATGACTGGATGGCCTGACATCTTTTGAGAGCTTAATTTGGTCTGAACTTTCTCTACAGTACTTTGCAAACTCCATATCTCGGCTTCTACTACCTGTGGATGGTGCACATGCTGCTTCATGTGAAGAAATGGCAACAGCTATGTCCAGTGCAGAGGGTGCGGCCTATAAAGGGCTTCAACAATGTATTGAAACTGTCATGGCTGAGGTCAGTATTACCCTCTGGACTTGCTGTTGAGAATTGAGATTTATGTAGGGATTACCAGGCTGGTGTATCAATTGATACCAAATCCTTATCATCAATTAAATCCTAAAATGGTTTTTTTGTTTTTGCCGAGTGCTGTGTTCCTTGCCAACCATATATCCAGCCTCAGGATCTTATACATTTATGTGGCTGTGTTGTTCTTCCTTACGAAATGTTGCAAAACCCTATTGTAGGTGGAGCGGTTACTTTCAGCTGAACAAAAGTCAACGGATTATCGGTCACCTGATGATGGAATTGCTCCTGATCATCGACCAACAAATGCATGCACAAGGTATAATAAAAAAGTTACTATCCTTGGGCTGTCTGGGAACTGCATTGACACAAATCAAAACCAAAATTTGGTTCATTTCCCAAATTGAATAAGCTGGAAAATTTTGCACCCCTTTCCTCTCTTTCTTGAACCTTTTATCATTCTGCATCGTGCTTTCTTAATCTTCTCCCTTTAACTTGTTTATTCTTTTTTGTTCACAATATTTGAGTTAATGCCAAATGTTTCACTTCTAGGGTCTCTGAGTGTTGTGATGGTCCGTGAATCATCTGACACGGAACCTGGTGTTATTTTCTTTGTTTCAGAATAGAAGCTTGTATTTTCTGTTTTTCGTAATGGAAAAGAAAAAGGTTCTATCAACACTCATAGTATAGTTGTTATAAAATAATAATTATAATGAAAAGGAAAAAAATATATTTTATCTTCACCTATAGCTGTAAAATGCTCTCAATTGACAAACTGCCGTTTCCATATTGGTTTCGGATATCAAATAATGCGTTTTGTTTGCTCTTCGCTAGAGTTGTTGCCTATCTCTCCCGTGTACTGGAATCTGCATTCACAGCACTTGAAGGCCTTAACAAACAGGCATTCCTCACTGAATTGGTATGACGTGTTCTTACCATCTCTTTTGACCGTTATGCATGTGCTTTTTTATTGTTGCTGAACTAGTTTGTATCAAATAGATAAAACTTCTTTGATAGACGATATGAATTGTTGTATCCTAAGAATGAGGAAGCAAACATTGATTTAGATTATGATAATCCTCAATCTTTTGAGTTTATACACCTCGAACACTGCATGTAGAATGCTTTCGAATATTTTACTCCATCTCCATAGTGTGCCAGGATCAATAGTGACTTAATGCATCATGATTGCCTTAAGTATATTTTCTTTTCTGCAGTATTTCATATCCTGCGCTATATCATTCATTTTATCAACTTTATTTTATTCCCCTTAGGCATTCAAATGATTTCTGTTAAACTAGAGCATCTTTTGCATTTGAACTGATTTTGCAGTGGAATTGCTGTTTCAGGGAAATCGCTTGCATAAAGGGCTGCTTAATCATTGGCAAAAGTTTACTTTTAATCCCAGGTAACCGGACGACTTCTTACTTGTTCGGCTAATTTAATTAATTAAGAGGCATTTAAGTGAACCGTTTCAAATTGAGCAGACTTTTGCACATCTATTTTAGCCAAAGTAATTCGGATCGTTATTTCTCATTCATCTTATATACTCTCTTGAATTTATCTGTTTTGAAGTGGAGGGTTGCGGCTGAAGCGTGACATAACAGAGTATGGAGAATTCGTTCGCAGTTTTAATGCTCCTTCCGTTGATGAGAAGTTCGAATTGCTGGGCATGTAAGTATCCAAATTCTTTTCAGGTTTTCCTGTTTCATTCAGCCCCCGTTTGTTTCATAGGTTCTAATTACTGTTCAAACCTTTTTATTAGAGTGCTTTCTCTCACAAAATTTTAATTTCTGTTCAAACTTTTCTATTCAAACCTATAAACCAAACGAGCCATCAGTTTTTTCCCGAGATTTTCTGATGAATTCCTGTATCCAGCATGGCCAATGTGTTTATCGTTGCTCCTGAAAGCCTCTCAACTCTATTCGAGGGTACTCCTAGTATTCGGAAAGACGCACAAAGGTAGGGTGATGCATTTTCAAAAATCACATACACATGAAAACAGTATTTTTCCTGTGCAAGGCTAAAGGTGGTTTACTAATGATGAAAGCATTCTTCTGGTTTTTATGTTGATTAAAATCCGGCATTACTATTCTCTTAGTTTTTTCAATATTGTTATTTCCGTCTTAATGAAGTGTTCTTTAAAAGAACCAAAAAAAAAACAAAAAAAACAAAAAAACAAAACAAAACAAACTAGCACGAAAGTATTTTACCAGAATTTTTTTAAAAATTTGTTTGCAGTATGCTGTTTGTCTTTCCCTATTAAAGTGCACTATTTATGATAAAACGTTGTTTTGGCTGCCAACTCAGGTTTATTCAACTGAGAGAGGATTATAAGAGCGCAAAGCTTGCTTCTAGACTGAGTTCCTTGTGGGCAAGCTCTAGTTGATCGGAGGCAGTTTGCTGATGTGGATCTAGTGGCTCCTTTGCTAAGGAAGCTGAAAGCTCATCTGGAGACTGGAATCATCCGGAGACCAAAGGCGAGGCTTGAATACCATTTAGCAATTAAGAGTGCATTTACAGGCCGTAAAAATCGATTGTTTCTTTTTCCCCTTTTCTTATGTGTTGCTTTTGCTCTATCCATTCTTTCCTTTTTTTTGAGTGTATATTATGGAGGTACGAATAGGAAGAAGATTTGATAGATTTTTGGTCTTCAAAGCTTTATTTTATGTACTAGGTTTGGAATATTCTTTGCCCGACAATTGGTAGATATGATATGGTGTGTCCTTTTCTCCTTGTAAATGATTCTTTGGGGGATAAATGAAGACAGCCAAGTTGGTGCGCCTAGTGTCTTGAGCTTTAATTGGAGGACACTATGTTTGAAGTCTAAATTTATGAATGTGTAGTAATAGAAAAACATATGGACCTGTAGTGCAATTTCTTAATTTTTATTTTTCAGGAAGTTGTCCAGTATAAATTTAACAATAATGCTAAGGATATCAATTCAAATTTTAATTTTTATGTATCAACTGACGTAACATGTGAGTTGTTATTTTTATATTGGTGGATGTTTAAAATATTATTACGTCAATTGATAATAAGAGATGCATCTATTAATAATATGTCAATTTTCATACTATATCAGTTAATATACAAGAGTTAGAAATTTGAGTTGATGTTCGTAGCATTATTCTAAATTTAACTAGTGATCTAATTCCTTGTATGGGACATCTGAGAGGAATAAACGTTTTAATTATGTGTAATAAAAAGATGCAAAGGAAAGAAACAAAATAATTGTTCGGTTAACTCGAACACTCAAAAAGATTTCAGGCATCTCATGGCTTCCAAATAATAGTTATCCTTTATGCACGTTGATGGTGATTGTGTAAACTTTAAGTAACTAATGGAGGCTCACCTTTTTTTTTTTTTTTTTTTTGGTCTCGAAAAAGGGTTATAGAATTATAAGGTGGCGTAGTATGCAGTTTAAGGGAGACAAGACATCTCTGCGTGGCATGTGGATTATTATTATTATTTTTTAGTATCATAATGTGGCAATTCGTTAATTTTACATATAAATCACTTGTGTCCCCGCTGAAAATGAAAAACATGGCGCTAAAAAAGAAAAATACGTGGTAATAAAGTAGCCGTGTTATGACTTAACAAAAAGTAACAAGTGATGCTTAATGTGTTACTCGTTTTTATTTTTTTTTATTTTTAATGCATATCTTAACTAACGTGCCTATGTAGCACCTCAGCACAAAAGAAAATTCTACATTATGATGATTTTGTAGACCTCTCCTGTAAACACAAACATGATTGCATAGTTGAAAACAATGCAAAAAGCAATTGACCTAATAGTTTCAAAATCTCCTCCGAAAATGTTGTTTACTAATTTCATCATTTTGAGGCTTTAAATTGATTCCATGCAGAGTAGCATATGAATTTTGTTATTCAAGTTCATCTTGCAACTCATTACTAGTTTGAGCATATTTCCTATGAACTTCAGTTTTAACTTTTCAAGGACCATCTAATCTAGGGTCACCATGTTAGTCACCAATAATGAAGGCACAAAGGAAGGTCCATAATGCAAGTTCAGGGTTTTACTCGTTTAGCTCATGAATCATAATTTGGTAGAAAAAAGACCTCCATGAAAAATAAATAAATAAATAAATAAATAAAAGCATAGCTACTGATTGAGACACATGACCTTGGCCTTTGTGGTGGGGTGCCTCTTATTTTTGCTAGTGTGGCACCTCACTAGGGTTGGATAGAAAAGGGTGTGATTGATGTTGTAAGAAATTTAGTGGATCTGGCTGCTAATTGATTGCCATATTCTTTGATAGCAAAGTTACCCATCACTTACATGTCCTTGTGCCAAACCCATTATAATTCCCTTAGGATATGGCCCAATCTACACACCTACCCCTCTCTCTCTCTCAAGAGAAACATACTCAAAAGACAAGAATTTGCAAGTGCTAAAATGTTTTAACACCCCCACAACGGGGCACTAGTCCTTGTGGGGGTTGATTGTATTGTATCCCGTATCTTTTCAAGTCGCTATTGACCCAATACCCTTTAGAAGTAGCAACTGAAGATTTCAGTCTTTTTCAATCCCAATTCCTAACTAGATGAATACAAAGGGCATTATGATTAAGAGCAATATATATGGTTGACCAAACAAATGGATGTTGAACTAGAACTTCTATTCTCAACTATTCAGTCTAACTAGAACGGCCTACTAAATGTCAAAATAAAATAAAAAAGATCTCTACAATGCAAACCCAATTCAAGAATTTTATTTTATTTGTTCTTCTTTTTTTTTTTTTTTTTCCTTCTTCTTCTTAAAGTAAGTGCTCCATAGCTCTCTAAAAATGTCAATTTTTTTAGAAAGTGCAAAAGAGAGAAAGAAAAGGGTGTGTGACGACAATTTTATGTCATGGCTAGTGGGGGTGGTCCAATTTTAGAAATGCTTCTTCTTTTCCTTCAATATGCATTATTTTCATCAATAACTCCCTCTTCACTTCTTTTCTAGGCTGAAAAGGTAGTTTCATTGCAAGGTTTTGGCCCTATTTATTTGACTCTCATCCCAAAAAGAGGAAGGAAAAGGAGATTAAAAAACAAAATCAAACAACAAATAAAATGAAATCTATTTTTGATGGGATGGAATCAAAAATATAGGATATGGGTTTCATTCAAGTAGATAAGCTATCCAAAAAGACAATAAGATAACGTTTGGTTTATAGATTCATGAATTATGATTCATGATTTTGATTTTTAAAATTTAAATTTTTTGTGAGAGAAAAACATTGTAGAGAACCATGAACTATGATTCAGAATTAGAAACGGATATATGAAATAAACATCCCATAAACCATCCGAGATATTATATTATAGTTAGGATATATAGGCAAGTACTTCCTTACAATTCACGTTCAACAGTTTTTTTTTTTTTTTTTCCTCCTTATTCTCTTGATGGAATTTTGACATTGTTACTACATGGTCATAAAATGCAAAATGGGCAGCTGGAATTTTCAGGTAATTTTATCCACTATACCAAACTATGGGACTGCTATTTGTTCATGATTCTCTTTGATTCTCCTTTTTTAGTTTTTTTTTTTCTTTTTCTAGTGTAAATATGGAATTAGCGGTGTCCTCACATTTCTGCCCAATTTTACTTTCAAAATTTATTGGACTATAAGTGGAACGATAGGATGAAACCATCATCACTTAACACCATCAGTGGTTTTCATTTTATAGTTAGAAAGCTCTTGAGATATTATTATCTCATTAGTCATTTAGCAGCTCAAGAGAGATATATACCAACCAATATATATATATATATATATATAGAGAGAGAGAGAGAGAGATAAGTCATAAGAAGCAAACAAATGCAAACACACAAAGAACAAAAACACTACCATTGCTGATGTTTGTCCGTTCTTGCACTTTGGCATGTCTATACCTATTAGAATATTGACTAGACTTAGAGAACATAAGATAATCTATCTTAAAAGAGGATTTGCCCATTACTACCTATTGGTCAAACAGCCAAGTTGCTTAAAAACATTAAAAAATAAAAAAAATAAAAAATGCAAAAGATCGATAAGTTTGAGGCAAATTCGAAGCTAACCAAGTTTCTAAGTTGCTGCCACATCCCCAAACTATTGGATTGCATGCTCCTTGCTCTTAGCAGCTTGAGCATGCTTTTTAAAAAAAAAAAAAAAATTTATTCGTACAACTCTCTCTATCAACTTTGACCCAACTCAATCAATAATATTTTTTTATTAAATTATAGCAAAAAATAAAATAGCTTTAAATAATGACCCCACACGTTTGCAATCTGCAAAGCAAAGCCTCGTGGCACCCACGTCTACCGGCCTACAAAACCAGTGTTTCATACACTCACCACCAGTATTCATTGCCCCACACCATAGTGAATCACGCACCATCCAAAATGCATAAACTTCCTTTCCAAAGATTTCTTTTTTCTTTATTTATTAGATTCATCTCTAATGAAAATGTTGATATTAATTGTATATATAAGATACAAAAATATGATATGATATATTATTCTCATTTTTACTTCAATGCATAATGCTATTTAAGATGTTAAATTTATTTTTTCTCGTAATCATTAAACTTCGAGAGTTGTAATAATAAATTTTTATTTTTAAAATAGACAGTTTCTTTGGTAGTCTATGAAAAAATGCAGTAGTCACCTACTCTTCAGCTATCAAATCTGTATCAGAATCTGTATATTTTGTATATCTTTTCAATTTAATGTGATTTTGACCAAATTTAACGGTTAAAAATTAGACCTACTGGTAGGCCGACCTACCAGAGAAGATCCCTTTAAAATAATTTAAAAAAATACAAAAATTAGAATGATTACATGGAAAAGTAAGCATTTCAACCAATAGCAATCAAATGCTCAGTTTCTCATTTACTATACTTGGTGAGAAATTTACCATAAAGTATAAGTATATGAGAAATTTGGCACAATAAATAGCATTACAATGGAGAGTATTTTTTACACTTAAATACTAAATTAACAATTGATACATTAATTATAACATTACATTAGAAATGCTCTTAAAAAGGAAAAAATATATATAAAATTTAAATCAGATAATTAATATCCTACTTTACCAATTGAGACTTGACATTCTTCATGTTTTAGGTAAAAAACGAAAAAGTCAACAGAATTGACCTAATGCAAACGTGATATGAATATATATAGATATATATATATATACACACATATAAAACTTAAAAATAAAAAAAATGCATTTTTTAATATTTCTTAATTCTTGTTAGTGCTTAAAGTAGTAATTTACATCTTATCAAGCTATATATATATATATATATATATTATTAAATACTCTATGTGGTATAAGACTTATGATGTATCATTTCTATTGCAATGTGGTTATAATTTGTTATTTTAGACAAATGTACTCAGCACTGAAGACATTTGCTTAAAGATTGAGGTCTTTTTTTTCGGTTAATTTACTTTTCTTAAGTAATTTTCACAGTCATTTAGCCTAATTTGATCATCGTATCCTCTCCAATCTAATCCAAAGCTAACTGAATTGGATTTTATACAGAAATTACTGATCTAATATTAATTTAGACATTAAATTCCGACCAATATTCACCCCTAAATATCTATGCATTTTCACATACATGCAAGATTAAATATATCTTGCTTAAGAACTAATTTATTATCTATTGAATGAAAGCAAGTTCCAATTTCAAAATATATATATATATATATATATATATAGAAGAGTTTTAATGGTTACCTATTAAGAATAAAAATTTGATAATATGTCGTGATAAGAATCTAATTTAATTAATTGAGATAAATTTTTTTAGTCAACTAATCAAAATTATTACAATTGTCATATAGATATATTATGATTAAAATAATGAGACTCATTGATGTGTAAATATTATAGTAACCATTGAAATCACTTAAGAGAAAGAAGAAGCATTTTCAATTCTGTCATTGGTTGAAATAATTATACCTTATCATATTATTATGTTAGTTAGAGGTCAAAAATCTTGTGTAAGGAATCACTGGAAAATAACTAAAGACAATACTTAAGGCAACCACGACATCATAAGCAATAGGCTAGCACACGTAGTGATGAAACAATCACGATGTTTATTTACAAAAAAAAAAAAAAAAAAAAAAAAAAAGGTGATATTTTGAAGACTACGCGATTCTTAAATTTTTTAGACAGTATTGACACACTACTTAAAATAGTTGTATCTATAAAAGTCCCATCTCAAATAAGCAAGATTTCTATATGCACTAAGAACAACATTTATGATAACACTAAAATATTCTCGCAAGTGAAATGTAGACCTAACTTTATCAAATACTTAAATGTCACATCATATAATTTTGCCAATATTGACGTCTAGAGATGCTTTAGCAGTTTTCTCGTGAAAGTACCTTTTACAATGGGTTTCTTTTCCCATTGAAAATATTATTGTGTTCTATTATTTTAGAAATTTTCTCATAAAAATTTAAATTTAACTCTTTTATTACAGTGTTTTTTTTTTCTCACATACACAATTTAAATTCTGCGAAACAAACAAATTTATGTATGTGTGATCTGCTGATGATCATAGGATAATTATGAGTATTGACAATCTCATTTTACTCTGGTTGATTGACGACACTAATATAAACCTTATTTTATTGTTTATTTTACAATTCTAATGTTAGGTTCACATATACATCACGGCTCCAACCCGACAGAGCTAAAAGAAAAAATTAGCCTAGAGGGATGCAGGTGTGACTGAACTAATGAGATGAAAAAAAAGATGTAAAATTTGTTGGGAGTAAAATATATTTTATAAAATTTTATATATAATTTTTATTTTATTCAGATAGGACGGCCGCTGCCACCTGGTGCATGGGCGTGGATCCACTCCAGAGGTATATTTGTCATTAAATTCATAATTTCACATATTATGTGGTCACTTCTACAATTAAAATCTTACATTTTACCACTAGGTATTGCTATTGAGAACCCTAATCAAAATTTTCGTGACAATTATGGCCGTTGGATCAAGCCACATAGGATTCTTACAAAGAGAGAACCTTACCATACCAATCTAAAGGCACGAGAGGGTGCTTAAAAGAAACACCCGGGCCTTTTTACCGAAAGACCTGGGCCCACTAAATCAGCAAGCCTGTGAAGCCAACTCACCTTATCACTCGTGCACGTCATCCCACGCGCTGAAAATCATCTCACAAGTGTGAATCTATTTTACTTTTTACTTTTTTTGCGGCGTAAGCCGTTTGATTCACCCCTCAAGGTCTCCTAACGTAGCATATACCAAGCCGTTCACACGCCCTCGAATACAAAAAATAAATAAAACTCGCTGGATTTCCTTGTCACGTGGAGGCTTCGTGGTTTAGCACCGCTTTTTCCGGTTTTGTTAGAAAACGTGTCGGTCACGAGTGTCAGGGATTAGCGCGCCGCGCGTGGGGCGCCCCTAGTCAAATGAAATGCAATTTTTTTTTTTAATTTCTGATTTGCATTCGAAATAAATAAAAAAAAATTATTATTTTCGACAATTATATCACCGTTTTTTATAGATATTTGTTTTTCGTAATTATAACATGATTTTATTTATTTATGCAATAATAAGAGTTGGTTCCACCAGAAAGAATATGATTATTAATTTTCTTTTAGAAAGGAAATGATTATTAATTTTAATTTCCTTTTCGGAAGCAATTATGATATATGATAATCGTCAAAAGTCAAAATGCATATTGGTCATCACTATTGGTTTTTATGAATTAGGTTGGAGGGTGCAATTTTATGAGAAATTCTAAATCTTAGCAGCTTAGAACGTGAGAGACATAATTGGTATTGCATTTGGAAAGCATATATGCCACGTGATATGTTGCCCATAAAAAAAAACCTTTTGATGACTCAATACTAGATACAAGATCTTTTACAAATTATTTCCATGAACTTTAATTTCGAATATCATTATATGCTTCTCTTAACATAAGAATGTTGATTCTTGCACTATTCTTTCGTGTGAACACACTCTTTTGCTTTCTGTATAAGGTCATTTCTAGTTTTAAAAAAAAAAAAATGCTTCAATTAAGTTGAAAACTAATGGATTACCTTGGAAAAAAAAACCGCACAAGTTAAAAATCATAATATTATAAACCTTAATATAAAAAGAGAGATTAAGGGTGCTCTTAAATTTTAGAGGTATTCCTAATTTATCTCCCAAATTTTAAAACTACCACTTTATCTTTTGAATTTTGATTTAATCTAACTTAACCTATTTTAATAGATTTATGCTAAATCAAACGAAAAAGAAGGAGTTAAATATGGTCATGTAGTCGTTTTTATTTGTTTTTAAACTTAAAAATTCTAATAGAAATACTATATGATTGCACTACTCTATTTTGTCTATTTGTTTTTATTAGAAATTCTAATATAATTGTGGTAAATGAGATTAATTTAAAATTCTAAAGATAAATTAAAATGAGAGTTTTTAATGTTTAGGTGGCAAAGTGACAATGATCTCAAAGTTTAAAGACACTAATGAGATCAACAACAGGAAAAAAAAAAAAAAAAAGAAGAAATTTTTAGCCCTTAGGATCAGCTTGTCCCTTCTATATACGTGATACTCCATAACAATTATCGTGATAGATCAAGGAAATTGATTTGATCCAAAATATAAAGATAATAGGATGCTAAATTGAATCAATCTGTGTAACAAATCAATTAATTTGATTCTCAATTGTAATCACTTTTACCTCATGATATTCATTAGGGTTATCCACTTCTATTGTGAAGCTAATTCTATCTGATCTTTGTTCATTTAAACTACAAATTTGATTAAGATGTCATTGAAATGGTATATAAAACATCAATCAAGACAAATTGATCTATGTTTTCCGAAATTTTGTTGAATGCATCAATAGACATATGCATATTCAATTGCTTGAATACCCTTCCGTAGGGGTATATATTTTTTGGGGTAGTGCATTTTATTTTCATGTTCCACTTTTCATTTGAGTAATATCTAGCTTGGGAATTCTCCATGTATATATATATATAAAAAAATTATAGTTTGGAACTTGAGAGCTTTGTTTTAGCATAATTTCTGGAATTCACAATAATTTATTGCCCAAGATTAAAAAAGATAGGTAACCTAACTTTGGCAAATTAGAGCGAGACTTTTGTAAAAATAACTCTTTTGAAAAGTTTTATTAGTAAAATAATTTTTCAAAAATTTTTATTTACAAAATGACATCTTTTTACAAAAAAATGAGTAAGTGTCTTTCTTTATAAAAAATAGAAGAAGGTCATTTTGCTAATTTCACTTTGTTGGATAGTTATTCTAGCATATTGCCCAATTAGAACCACGGTAAAAATATATTGTATATTTTATCGGGTAGTGCATTTTAGTTTCCTCTTAAACTTTTGATTTTGAGTAATTTATAGTTTGGGACTTAGAGAGATCTGTTTTAGCATAACTTCTGGAATTTAAGTTAATTTGATTTTTTTAACCATTTTGAAGAACTTTACTCTATTTAGTACCCAAGAATGAAAAAATGGGGTAACCTAGACTTGCCCTATTTTTACAGCCAACCCTCAAATTAAGGAATCCGGGTATGTCCAAAAGCGCGTGTGGGTTTTCACTTTTCAGTCTCTTACCAACCCACCAAAAATTCAGAAAAATTAACCATTTTTTATAAGAGCACCCCACAAAATTTTCTACTAAAGAGCACCCCCACAAAATTTTCTACTTGTTTCCGCATTCCCTTTATTTGTTTTTATATTTTCTCCCTAACAATTTAATTTGTTATTAATTAATTAATTATATCTTTCTCTTTTTGTCGGTATAACACACGAGCTCCACTCTCTAGACACCGTGTGGAATTTCTTATCATCAAAATCCGGCTTTGACATTTTCCTAAGTCAACCCCCCCGCAAAACCCAAAACCACTTTTCAAATTTCTCAAATTAAAAAAATAAAAATAAAAATAAAGACATAGCATTGCATAGAGATGCCAACCCCACCCCCTCTTTCTCTAAAAACACCCACTTGTCTCTGTCTCTCTCTCTCAGTAGACTTTCCTCTTCTTTTTTTTTTCTCTCAAAAATAAAAATAAAGACATAGCATTGCATAGAGATGCCAACCCCACCCCGTCTTTCTCTAAAAACACCCACTTGTCTCTGTCTCTCTCTCTCAGTAGACTTTCCTTTCTTTTTTTTTTCTCTTTCTTTTTCTTTTTTCTTGTGAAAACCCACTTTCTCTCTCTATATATACACGTATATATTATTCTTTTCCCACTCATTGCATCCTTATCTTTCCTCCTTCTCTCTCTCTTCCTCACCAAAAGTCAGCGCCTTCTTTTGTCTCTCTCTCCCTCTCTCTCTCTCTCTTCTCCAAGCAGACACAAAGGTACAGAGATTCACAGAGCTTGTCGGAGCAACCGGCGATGGACGACGACTGGGGCCTTCAGGCGGTTGTCAGAGGCTGCTCCTCCGTCAGTACCGGCGCCGCTGCAGCCACCTCAACCGCCACCACCACCACCACCACGACAACCATCTCTTTCATGGCTGACTTTCAACCCAACAACAACACTAACAACAACTCTTTCTTCTTCTCTCCTGTATTTGGTAGCAATAACATGATAACTCAACGGCAGAGCAGTAGTCAAGTCTTCGCTCCTCCAGATCCCATGAGGGTAAGAAACCACGTCGCCGCCATGGAAGAAGAGCTTCACGAGCTTTACAAGCCTTTCTTCCCCAAATCTCAGACAAATATTACACCAAACATCATAAGCGTCTCTTCGTCGCTCAATTCTTCCAATGACCAGAGAGTAATAGTACAAACAAAGCAGAACAATATTAATCAGTCCACTAAGCAATCTCATGGCGCCTCTACGAGTAGCACCACCCCGAGATCCAAAAAGAGGTAGATTAATTTGTGCTTGACTTGATTTTTGTCAACAAATTAGAATTTTTTTTTGGTTTATTTATTGAGTTTTTGGATAATAATACCCATCTCTTGAAATTTGCACTTTTTTTTTAAAGTGTTGTTCCTTCTTTTTCCATTTCAGAAAGAACCAGCTGAAGAAGGTTTGCCAAGTACCGGCAGAAAGTCTTTCTTCGGACATCTGGGCTTGGCGTAAATATGGCCAAAAACCCATCAAAGGCTCTCCATATCCAAGGTACTAAACTAATTTTCGAACCGTTCAACCAAAAAATTCAAAAATAAAATAAAATAAAATAAAATCACTAAATTTGCTTCAGTTATTAAATACGAAAACGGGGCTTCATTTTATTTGCTATTGTTCTTGAATAAATGGGTTTTTATTAAATTTCTCTCTTTCCCAAAAACAGGGGATATTATAGATGTAGCAGCTCAAAGGGTTGTTTGGCCCGTAAACAAGTGGAGCGGAACAGATCCGACCCGGGAATGTTCATCGTCACATACACCGCCGAGCACAACCACCCTGCTCCTACCCACCGGAACTCCCTCGCCGGCTCCACTCGCCAGAAGCCCTCCTCAGCCGCCGCCGGGGACGCCGGGAAATCAACACCCATCACCAAACCCTCGTCGCCGGCGACCTCGGCCGAGGAAGATCTCGCCGCCGCTCAGGCGCAGAGCACCACCACGGAGAGCAAGGAAGGCCCTGAGAGCAGCACCGTTCTGATGGACGACGAGGAAGAAGACGAGTTTGGGTTTTCCGACGTGGCCGTCAGCGACGATTTCTTCGTGGGTTTGGAGGGGCTCGGCACTCCGGCAACCGGAGATTTCTTCTCCGATAACTTCCCGTCGAGCTTTGGCCTCCCTTGGGTCGCTAATAGTGCCGCTACGGCCGCCGGAAGTATTTGAATCGCCGGAGATTGGGAAACGACAAGGTTTTTTTTTGCGCGTTTTGTAATGAACAGAAGTTAGAGTGAGAGAGAGAGAGAGAGAGAGATTTGGTGGGGGTGTTGGTTTTAACACAGGTTAATTAGTGAGGTTTAGCAGGAAACAAACAGAGTTGTAATTAGTCATTTGATTATCATTACTGTTATTATTATCTCTTTTGTTAATTTAATTTATTTTTGCTTTGTTTATGTAAAGTCAAAGTAGTGACTAATTGCAAGAATCTTTCATCATTTTACTTCTTACCGTTTTCTCTTTGCTTAATACTATTCTTATTATTATTATTTTTTTTTCCGAATCTCCAATTAGAAGAATTGATTTACAGGGAACTCCCAATCCTTTTTTTTTTTTTTTAAATAAAGTTAAATTTGATAAAGTTTGTATGATTTATAAATACTATAATTGTTGATACGCGAACTGATTTTCTCTGTAAACGGTAAATTTTGAAAATATTGGGCCATCACATCATTGATCCTTTCAAAATTAGAGCCAATTTTTCAATTTTTTTTAAATGTTAGGTTTGACATTTTGGAGTCTTAATCCGAGAGAATTTTTCTTAATCTATGAGGGGGATGACTTTGCCTAGTCGATCATTTGCCATTACCTTTATACCTTATGATAGTTGTGTATGGAATGGTATTTTGACTACTTTGAGACAGAATGAAAAGGATTTGGCATCATCTTCAGTGTGAACTGTGAAGATTCACTTTTATATATGCTTCTTGCCCTTTTGTGCTTATTACTGTTGCTTCTCAGAAACTAACCAAGAGGAGTCACTGTGAAAATAACTACTCTGTGGAGGTTGCAGGATCTTCTTTTCTGGTTTTTGATGCGACAAAGAAAATTCTAGTCAGTAAATTTTGTAAGATAACGAAATACAGATGACTTTAGTCAATAGGGAAACAATGGATATTATACAAGAAATGAGGCAAATGATGCAAATGATGCAATTTAGTAGCCGGTACTTGGATCAATTATAAATTATTGGGAATTTTTACGTTCCGTTCGTTTCATCGATTCGAGTTTTGTAACAGTAAAAAGTTTTTAGAAACAGTCACATCTAACTTTTTTACTACAGTAAAAAACTCTCACATAAAGTCACATCTTAACTCGAATTAAAAATTCGAATCAGCGAAATAAACTACACGGCTAAAATAGCGGTACTTAGTAATAACTTTAAAAAAAGATAGGCCACACCTTAGAAGGTTTTAAATTATTGTGCTACATATAATATTTTTTCAAAAAAAAAAAGATATAATTGGGCTGAGCATTTATTTCTATAAACTATCGTGACTTCACAAACTAGGAAATGTTTTGAAAACGAAAACGAAAACAGTGAGAATAATTTTTGTGAAAAAATTTGAAAAACAGTTGAAAGCTGTTTTCATTTTCTAATACTTATCAACAATATTATAATATATTAATTAATAATTATAATCAAATACAATTTCACTCTTTTATTATATTCAAAATAATCTTTTAAAAAACTAACTGAACGCAATTTCAGAATCATTTTCAGAATGATTCTAAAAATAATCTTATTTTTACTTTTTATTGAAAATAAAATCATTTTGAAACTAATTCCAAAGGCTCCCAAAATCTATGACTTTTCAGTAAGTGTTTGGAACTAAGAGCTTAATGGGTTAACATGATTTTTAAATTTTCTAATAAGCAATAAAGTGTTAGAATTAAGTTTATAATACCTTAATTAAACTTGGGGTACAAGTTTCAAGGTCTACTCAGAAGTGTTTTTTTTAGAAGTCATATTTTCTGACATTAACTGAAAACTCTTCTGAAAATTCAAAACAATTATGATTGATAAATCATTCAAATACTTTTAGAAGCAATTTTTAGACCTCGAAAGTCAAAAGTAGCTTTTAATAAGCTCTTCTAAACATGCCTTAATCACTATTGGTGCTGTTTTAGAGGTCATATTTTTTTCCGCTCTCTCCTCTGTCCCCAACATTACATATCATTTTTTGTTTCTTGCTCGATAGTAGCAGACTAAAAATGTCGATTTATATTGGTTCAATTGACGATAGAAGAATAAAAAGGAAAAGAAAAGGGGATTCTAAGAGCATCTCTAGTGGAGTCTTAAATTAGTGTGTCAATATCGAATTTTAAAAATGCTATTTTCACACTTCTTAATATCAAATAATGTAGCATTGACATTGAGATTGAGATGATTTAAGGTTAATAACATATATTGTTGCGGTCGGTCATCAATTCATAAATATATTTGATTTATTGCTGTTAACAATAATTTACAGGTTAAGATTTTTTTTTATTTTTTATTTTTTGTGAAATGATACTAGGACTTGAAATATAGGAAATTTCAAGTTGATGGAAATTTTCAGCATTCAACGTTCAAAGTTTTCTTTCTTTCTTTCTTTTGCGGGAATTGAAATTGCATAATTTGCTTGTAGTTCATAAGATTGTTAACTTTGTTGCTGCTTATTATGCAAGAAATACAAGCACACCACGATCATTTTTCTGTTATTATTATTATTATTTATTTATTAGCTAAAGAGTTGTCCATAAGTAGCTCTTGTTTGATCAAGTTTTTAGTTTAAAAAAAATCCATACAGATAAAGTACAAGATTATTTATTTTCTACGTTTTACTAATAATTTTTATTTTTATTAGTCCTCAAGACTCAAGAGGAAACATTTGGGTGGACACAAAAGCTCAATGTCCGAATCTTGACGTTCAAACCTAGAGGTCTAAATTTTCAAGAAGGGAGAAAAAGTTGTCATCTCGTTTTTTTTTTTTTTTTTTTTTTTTTTTTTTTGTTTTTTTTTTTGTTTTTTGTACATACACACACACACATATATATATATATATATATATTTGTATTTTATTTTTATTTTTGCTGAATTGTCCTCTTCTCTCTTTTCTGCTAAAATTGTTGTCGTTTCATGTCAATACTCGTTCAACATATGTTGGTGGATTTTTTTGTCTTATCACAGACAAGTCCTGATCAACCGGTCAGTTCATATAACTGTAATCGTAATATTTTTGGTTGATTCACACAAAATTAGAGCCATCTTATAGCTCAAGATTGCAATGACTCGTGAGGTCATTTTTTAGAGATCTTTTTAAAACTTCACCTTTTCTCTTCATAACATGAAGGGCCAACCGACAAAAAAAAAAAACTACTGGAGGGAAAGGAAGCTTGTAGGAAGAATGAAATTGTCTGGATCTTAAGCTCCGTTTATTTTACCGATTTGAGTTTAGAATTTTAGTTTTATTACAATAAAAAGCTCTCAAAAGCAGTCATATTTAACTTTTTTACTGCAGTAAAAAATTTTCATATAAAGTCACATCTCAATTCGAATTAAAAATTAAAATCCGTGAACTAAAAGGGCCATTAATGAAGAAAAGTTCAAGAAGGGAAGAAAAGATGGTGACATTGAAATGGACTAGGCAAAGCAAACTCTTTCAATCATCAGACATATAATTTTTTTTCCTCTTTTTTTTAATAAAAAGAAATTTCATTATTAAAAGGAATAAAATACATACTCAACATGTCGTAAATGATCCCAAATACAATCAAATTCGACCTAAACAACTAGATCAACTAGTAAAAACAATAATAGTACAAGGGCGAATACTAATGCCGATACCCAAACGGGAAAAGCCTGATTGGCACATAAAAATTGAGCATAGTCGAAGCTCGTTGAAAGAGACCAAACATTCGATAAATTAACCCAGTCGACCGAGACCAAACCCTCATATAGGGGACATCTACGCGGCCTAAAACTAACTAGACCAAACAACCTACATCGACGGTGATCGACTCGACCAGGTGGGGGACATCACGAACATTGGGAGGCGTTGAAACCACCGCCTCCTTTATTATCAATACACCATAAACAAAAGTAAACATGTAACATAAAAACAGGACTAAAAACAAGTCCAGAGTGCGGCCTCTACTGTGAACCACGTATCCGAGATCCCTTGAGGCCATCGACCGCGAAGCCTCAGCCACCTAACTTCATCCACCTGCCCATTGGAGAGCATCAGCAGCCCGAACTTGGCCAACCCCACGGCGAGACCAGCAGTACTGCTGGCCACCCTCACTCGGCGCCACCCAGCCATAACTACGGTTGGGTGCCATAACACCGACATTAGGTAGACGGTGACCATACCCTCCCAACCTACAGCAGATCCAAGTAGCCTAAAACATTCCATCCACCCTCCGACCCAGCTCGATCTTAGAAGAGATCCGAGTCTCCCACGACCACCTTGGACGACAACGCCTCCTCCATCAATGGTCAACAGATTAGCGACGAATAGCCCACTCTTGCTACTTATCTCTAATCCGAGCCAGGCTCCACTTCCCTTGCAGCACGAATCCCGACACAACGTAGATCCATCGGCGACAACTCACTGGACGAAGAACGAAGGCCAGCAGATCGGCGACGCGTCGGCCTATCGGCCCTTTCCGCACTCTCTCTTTCTCTGCCTTTCTTTGAGAGAATGAAAAAGAAAATAGAAAATTCTCTAGTACGGCTGGCGTACCAATAGATCAGGATTTTTTAACCATTAGAATTGCGTACTTTTTGACTTTTACATGATTTTATGCAGATCTAACAGATAAAAAACTTGGTCTACCAGTACGTTGACGTATCGGAGAAGGTCCCATATGTGTTTCTAATGGCTAATACGGGATATATGGGAACCAAAATAGGTTTTATTCATGTGGAAAATAATTTTTCTTTTCCCTCCATAATCCCGATCATCACCACGTTCTTAATTGCTCAAAGTGTATGGTTATTACACAGTTATACTCAAACAGCCACAATAATCCATAACTCGATAACCTATGGAAGACTAGGAGATAGAGAGAAAACTGACAGAGAGTCGACATATTTCTGTCACGCTTATTTGTACGTAGTTATCTAGCTATTTATAGCAACATCTATCATAAAGGAACAAACACAAAAATAAAAAGTATCTTTTCAGTTATTTATTGGAGAGTAAGTTACCTAATTACTCAATCGGTCAAGATATTAAAAATATTCTATCATATATCTAAAAAGATACTTGCCTTTTTCATGCATCGTGAATTTTATTTCAAATAAAATCAGCGTTGCTTTTTGGGTTATGCACTATTATGGGCATCTTAAAGTCCAACACATGATTTACACCAATTACGTTTCTGCTTTGCTCCCACTTTTTAGAGAGTTTCTTTAGTAGGCTAACATACTAATATGACCAGTTTTTAAACCGTTAGATCTCAAAATTATATTAAATTAAAAACATATGCAGAATATATAGTTTTGATACGAATGTAATGATTAAAAAGCAGAGAACTACCGGTAGTTCATTTTTACTAGTCCTACCAAAAAGGTTCTCTTATTTTTATTCTAAAATCGTTTTAGAATCTAACAAAAGTTGTTAGTTTTTCAAGACCGGTGTGGCACCAAGGATGAAAATATCGATATTTATGGGAATATCGGTACTTATATTTTACATAAATATTGATAGAAATATCGATATCGGTGGAAATTGACGTAAAAAAAATAGAAATTCATACTAAAACACTATTTTCAAATGAGACTTTAAAAACCTTAAAATAGATAATAATACATTATTTAGATGAAACTCTCAATCAAAATACTAATTATTTGATAAATATGCACGGTAAAATAATCGTAATACCATAAATACTAAGCACATATTCACAAATTAGTAAAATAGCTTAAAGTCAACATAATACATATATCATACATCTATGGTTTCAAACATGATGATAAATTATCAATACCAAAAGGATCTTCTAGGAGGTTGGAAGGTATTTTGAACACATTTTTAGTTTAAACAATATTTATACTAAGGCATGAGGTTTGAATAGTTCCTTATATAATTTTGACCATGCCATATTTTTTTAAAGTTTTTAAAAAGTAAAATAAAAAAAAACACACACACACGCACATATATATATATAAAGTGGCGGGAATTTCTTTGGATATTTACCGATCTTTATGTGAAATTTCCATAAAATTTTCACGATAATCGGTCATTTAACCTTACGTTTTACTTGGAAATGGAAATTTTCATGAAAATATCGATATTTGTGGAAATATCTGTGAAAATTCTAAAATATTCTGCAGAAAAAAATACTGTACTCTTATTTTTATATTGGTACTTTTAAAATATAAAAATTTTCGTGAAAACATCGATAAAAATGTTATATTTTTATCATTGTGTGGCACACGGGATGTTTTTGAATGCACTGCACTAGAGACATGGGAAAATGCTACCCTTGCTAGCTTTTAGAAATTGTCGTGGCACAGTTCTCGCAAAGCATTAACCAATAATTACGCAAAAACTTCCCCAGTAACTTTTCAAAATGGTAAAAAGTAATATAAGCACACTCTTGTCTCTAAAATGGCTAAATTGGCCTATTGAGGGTTGGCGTTGGTTTTGAATATCAGGAGCTGTGTTGTTAGTCCTTGAACTATTGTACTGTAACGGTTTAACTTTTAAATTCTTTTTGATGATTAGTCCCAAAATTTAAATTCTTTTTGCTGATTAGTCCCATAAAATTCATAGTGATATTTTAAACTTAACACAGGTAATCACGAGTCCCCTACATGGTAATTTAAAATTTTAAGAAACAATCATATAAAGTTCGTGTACATATTTTATGTTTGTGTTTAGTTGATTTCAACACAACACAATTATATGTGGACACAAATACGTTACAATTAATAAAATTTGTTGAAAATACAAATCTAAATACATAGCATTTGGTAAACATGTACCACAACACAAAGTGAGCACCTTTGATAAACATATATCATTCCAAGTTGAAAAGAAATGACACTTTTATGATCTAATTAACCATATTAGTGAAAAAAATTGAAGAAATCACTCAAACAACAATTTACTATTGATTAATAGCTATTTAACAATGTCTCTAAACCAAATATGTTACATCTAATCTAATCTAATTTAATCTAACTATATATATATATATATAAGAGTCCAAATCACTTCTACAATACTTCTTGGTTTTGATCAAAAGTGTTTTTTTATTTTTTTTATTTTTTATTTTTTTTTAACTTCCCTCCACGATCGTTTATTTGTTTTTCTAATCCCTTCTTGCTTTTCTATTTTTATTTTTATTTTTTCCTTCATCTTTTTGTTTTTCATTTTTAATCCTTCCTTCTTACTTTCGTTTATTTATTTATTTTTATTAGTATTTTCTCCTAACATCTTATATATTTTTAAATCTGCTTCATTAAAATTTTTTTTTCTTTAAATCTATCTCATTGTATCTCGATGATGTTCCAACCTAAATAATTTTCATATAATTCTCTAAAATAGTACTACATCAAAAGTAACCTTATAAATAATTATTTACAATTTCTTGACTAAAACAATTTCTCTTAAAATGTCCCGAATCCAACATCTTTCTCCTGCGTCTTTCTCAGTTATTATATCCTCATATATACACATTCTCTATTAATTTTTTTTTCAATTATAATATAATGTTATATTGAAAATGTCATTAATTTTTTAGTTACATACTAAAATGATTTTTAAATAATTGTCCTACTAAAATAACATTTTTCAAATACGTCCTTATTTAAAGATATCTTTTTTCTAATCTTATCAAATACTATTTTCTCAAATATATTTCCTAACTTTCTTAATATCTAATTTTATCTCACTATTTTTTAAATCTACTCTACTTAATTACTTTTTTTTTTTTTTTTTTTTTTTTTTACAATATCCTAAACTCTTAAGGGAATAAAAAATTCGAAAAAAGATAAATCTAGAAACACATTAAAAAAATCAACGAATACAATATTCATGTGCATAACACGTGCTTTGTAATTAGTATATATCTAATTCTAATGAGTAGGTTTCAAGTCCTCATATCAAGTGCATAAAAACATTAAAACACATAAAACACATATGCACAGATACATTACATGTAAATCATGCATGCATAATCTAACTTATGCATGCATGCATGCTTTGTCATTGGTGTTATACATATCAACCATAGATTGGTACGAAAAATAAAACAGGTCACGCGAATTCCCTTATTTCGCGTTGTATTCTACTTTGAGTCATATTGGAAATTATCGACCTCATATAAGGTTTAAAATATTTTCCTCAAAATTGTTAAAAACCCTTAAAAATAAAAAAAATATTTTAAACTTCATACCGTCTCTTTATAACATTTAGAAAATTACGTGATGAAGCTTCCGTTAAATCTCAAAAGCCTATGATCAATGTTAGGACTAGGGACCAAAACTTTGAAAAGAAAAGAACTTCAAGAACTAACCAGTCAAGTAAAAAAGATCGGGGGGATCAAAATGTCACTTCTTAAAAAGTCTGAGGACTATTGCACCAAAAGCTTAAAAAAAAAAAAAAAAAAAAAGAAGCCAATAAATAAATAAATAAATAAATCACGCCTCATTATATGCCTACTTTTGACAACATCAAAGGAAGAGTGGAATCCACCATGATCATAAGAGGATAAATTCTGGTAATTTTCCATTCCCAGCTAAACCTGGCTCTGCCACCCGAATTCCCTTTCTACCCTTCCTGAAAATTTGTGAGCTTGCTTGGGGTGCAATCAGAAACCTCATAGCGTTGAAGAAACTTCATCAATTCATCTCTCTTACCAACAGCAGAAAGCCACTCAGCAAGGACCTCCATGGTTATGTAATCAGGATTACAAGACTGATCAGCCATTTGATCCATGAATTTAAATGCCTCCTCCAATAAGTTATTTTCCCTAAGGCCCTTGAACAAGGCATTGTACGTGGTGGTATTGGGCTTCACACCCCTAACTTTCATGTCATTCATCAGCGAAAGTGCGAGTTTTACGTCGTTCTTCTTGCAGAGGGAATCTATGAGAATGTTGTATATTACGGTATTGGGAGGAATCTTTGATCCCGAACTCATCCATTCGAAAAGTTCCATGGCTTCCTCGATCTTGTCCTCCATGCAATATGCATTTATCAGGGATCCATAAGTGACGACAGTCGGCGCAAGACCGCTGTTCAACATTTTCTGGAGAACTTTATGAGCAGTTTCGAAGCTCCCGATTTTGCAGAAATGGGATATCAAGGTATTATATGTTATAGTGTTGGGTTTTATCCCGGTCTCTTCCATATCCTTGAGCATTTCATAAGCCTTGTCCAGCTTGTTCTTCTTGCAAAACCCGCTGATTAGGACATTGTACGCAACGATATCCAAGCAGAAGCCGGCCTCTTTCAGCTTCGACACAACCATGCTGGCATCATCCATCCTTCCAGCTCGGCTCAAACCGGAGATCAAGCTGTAGTAAAGAATTGCGTCCGCGGAATGTCTACTGCTCACCATCTGATCAAACAGCTCCATTGCCTTGTTAATGTTGTTGACACTACAGAAGGCAGCGATCAACATCGTGTAAGTAAAGGCATTGCCTTGAATACCGGTCCTTTGCATTACGTCAAACAACTTAACCGCACTGCCGACTCTTCCAAGTTTGCACATTCCATCAACCAAAGTATTAAGGGTAACCACATCTGGTGGCACTTGATCTCTTTTCATTTGATCAAAGATCTTCAGACCCCTCTCAATCTCTCCAACTTTGTTAAATCCATCAATTAGGCAATTGTAGGTAACAGTATTTGGCTTACAAAATTCCTCCGATCTCATCTGTTCCATCAAGTTCAATCCTTCTTCTTGCCTCCCCACTTTACAGAGTCCATCAATCAAAGTGTTGTAAATAATCACATCGGGTTTAACCAAATACTTTCCATTCTCTCCTCCTTGGCGCAGCACCGCAAACACCTCCAATGCCCCATCAATTCTCCTAGACTTGCACAAACAATTAATAAGGATCCCATAAGTGACAACATTAGGCTTAATATCTTTCTCTTTCATCTTTTCCATAAGCTCATTCATCTTCTTGAAATCTTTACTCCTTGCTAAACCCGCCAAAAGCGCGTTGCAAGCATCGGTAGCTACAGAACCATTGGATTTAATCACATTACACAAAACATCCCAAGCACAACCATCCTTCTTATCCCGACAAAAATTCGTGATCAACTGCCTAAGTAGCAACCCGTCAGGAAACACGCCGTGCTCGCCAAATCTCGAAACCAATCCAATAATTTCCTCATCCTCGAAGCGCCTAAACGACCTGTCTCTATTCAACAACAAAGGAAACACAGCATTACCCGTAACCTCATTGGGAGGAAATTTCCCGTCAGGTTCAAGCATTTCGTCGAGCACATGAAGCGCATCGTCAACACACCCCAATCTCAACAAAACATCAATCACGCGATTCAAAGCATGCGTGTTTTTACAATCATCATCAAGCCCCTTAAGCACAGTCATCAACTCCTCCCTCATTCCTGCCCTGCCAAAGCAAACAAACAAAAGCGTTGCGGCGTTGATTGTGAGCGGAACATTCCGCTCCCGCGATGTCGTGTAGAGCTCGAAAAGCCGCTTTTCCCAACTAGGTTCTCGGCTGGCGAGCTCGAGAACGGCCTGGAAAGTGGAAGCCAGCAATGACGAGTCCTTTGGGAGGTGGGAATTTTCTCGGACGTGGTCGAAGAAATTGAGGGCCTTCGACGAGGAGTCTAAGCGGCGAGCGATGTGGAGGAGACGCGTCGGAGATGGAGACTCGGAGTCGGAGAAGAGGAGAGTTTGGAGTTGTTCGGCGTTCCATTCGGTCTCCGGTGGTTGGAGGAGTTGAAGAGCGTGGGATATGAAGGTTTCGTCGTCTTTGGGAGGGTAGGATTCGACGGAGAGGTGGCGGAGAATGGAGGGAGTTGGGCGGGGGTGAAGCTTAAGTTGGAGGAGGTGGAGAAATGGTTTTGTGGAGTGATTTGTTGCCGAGAGAGATTTCATTATTCTCATTCTGTTCTGTTTGTGAGGATCGATTATTGGTGTTTGGTGATCTTGATGTTCCTCTTGTTGTACTTGTCTCTCTAGCAGTTTTTTTTTTTTTTTAGTAAAACAAATATTTACATAGAGCACATTTAAAAGAAAACAAAAGTTCTTCATGAGACAAATTAGGCAGTAAATTATTAAGTGGGTATGTATGAGAAAATAATATTTGAGAGGTTTGCAGAAAAACGTTGTTTTAACATATAAGCATTTCAGAAGTAAATAATTTCAATAGGGCAACTTGAAAAAAAAAAATTATTAATATCGTATTTTTAAATGACGCATTTGAGATTTTAAATAAAAAAAAAAAAAAAAAAAGGAGACACGTTTAAGAAAAAAGAAAATGTTTCAACTGGCCAATTAGAGAAAAAAGTATTTATACGGATTATCTTGGGTATAATAAGGATTACACACAGGGACGCATGTGTGAAAAAAAAGCCTTTTATAGGAGCAAGCGAGAACAAAATATTTCCAGAAAGCACATAAAAAATTGAACAATGAAGGAAGAAAAAATTAATTAAAAACACATTTGAAATAAAATATTTTAATAAAAGCAAAGCATGAAGAAAAAATATTTCAGAAAAGCACATTGTCAAAAACTTAAAGCACGAGCTATTTTTGGCAGAAAGGAGAAAAACAAAAAAGCAAACAGATAAAACAAACACAAAGCAAAAAAGAAAAAAAGAAGAAAGGGAGAATGGACGAAGGTGGAGGGAGATAAAACAAAGTTTTACTCTATTCTCTATTCCATATGTATGTTTAATATATGTATGTATAGACGCTCTACTCAAAGTGTAGATTTCAGCTAAATATTACATATGTCTAGAGAAATAGATCATGAAATTATTTTAGCGAGCATATTAGACATGAAATTAATTAGACGACATACATTTAAAAATAGTAGTTAAGAGTGCCGTCACAATAAATATTTAACTAGAGACATATTTAAAATATATTACTAAAAAAAAAGAAACATTACATCAACAGGAACAAATTAGAGAAAAAGTGTTTATGAGAAAATAATAATTGCAAAAGTTACATGAAAAAACTGTCAAGAAAGAGACACATTTGAGAAAAAAAAATTGTTTTAGTAAGCAATTAAGAAAAAGAATAATTTAGAATAATCACTTTCGATATAATAAAGATTAGACACGAAAAATTAAGTAGTGACATATGTGAAATAAAATATTTTAATATGAGCAAGCGAGGAGAAAAAATAGTTCAAAAAAGTACATTGAAAAAGAATTAGACCATGGAGGACCCTTTGTTAAAAAAAAAGAAAGAAAAGAAACCAAAAGCTTAAGTAAGAATGTCGTTGATAGGAATCATCTTAATGGAAGCAAAGTAAGGAAAATGATATTAAGGAAAATGAAATTTTCAAATAAAGACATTGTAACAATTAAATTGTAGAATAGCTTTAAGCGGATAGAAAAAAAAAAAAAAAAAAAGAGAACAGCAAAAAAAAAAAAAAAAAAAGGGAAAGAAGAATCAATAAATCAATATAAGAAAAAAATACAAAAAAAAAAAAGATAGAAGTTTGACACTTGATAATAGGAGGATGGAGGAAATGAAATTTGGCTCTTTTTCTTCAATACAAGTTAGTTGCTCCTAGAATTTTAGTGTGGGATCTCTCCTTTAACCCCACTCCATCTTTACTAACTGAGCTAGCTAGCACTATTTAGCAAAATTATCTCTTTTATGTAGGTTAAAGATTATGTATGTTAAAGATTAAAAATATATACATAGGTTCTTTACGGGAAAAAAAAATCAATTACACCTTAATTTTTTACCATCGAGTATCTTAATATTTCAAATTTAAAATCTCAAATTTAAAATCTCAAATAAACTACAAATCAACGTATTATAACACGAATGCATATTTACCTTTTAAAAAGTTAATTAAGACTATTAAAAGTTTAGTTCATTTGAAACAAAAAAAGTGAAAAATACAAATAGATATACATGAGTAAAAGATTGATGTATTATAGTTTTGGTTTGATTCATGCAGGAAAAACAATTTCTGGCTCCCACCGTGGCCAACACTGATGCATGCACATCTGAAGGTGCAATAAAAGGGAAAGTCCCGTCTCTATCCTCTTGACTTTATAAAATGAAAATTCTTATGGTGAAAAAAGTTATTTTGTTCTATCGATAAAAATTGTTGAATAATAATTATTGTTTTTAATTATTGGATTAGTTTTTTAATCGTTAAATTTGTACATTTAAAAATTCACAAATGCGTGACACAAAACTACTCCTACTTCATATTATAACATTAAAAAATTAATCTAATAGTTTAAATACAATTCTTATCAGTGAAGTAAAATAACTTTTTTTCATTTTAAATGCACCCTTATAAATTAAATACCCCTTATTAAGGGTTTCTCACAACAGAGAGGACTATCCTTTCAGATTTCTACCAACACTCTTTGTACTTCCTCTTTACTCTTCCTCTCTCCACATTTAATGCATCTCTACAAGCTACATGTTTTGCAATTCTTTTTTTTTTTTTAATGGTTGGTTTAGGGAAGAAACAGCATGTTTTCATACTTACTCTCGTTTATGGAAAAACGCATGTTTTAATTTGTTTGAAGATTTTTTCGTCAATCCAGAGCAATAAATAAAAGCAAAATAAAAAAGAGGACGGAAGAGACCTAGTAGGAAAAATATCTTTCACCAGAGATTATATCGAAGTACCAAACCTCTTCACCCATGGGCTTTTAAATTTACGTGATATCATTTCATTGAACTTGTCAATGCATTACACGTTTGTCTACACAGTTATAAGAAAAATATTAGTATCACTCTATCACTTTCTGTATTTATTATTTGACACGTAAACTCTATTATCTTATATTTTCAAGTTATAATTAGTAAAAGAGAACTTAACTACTTTATTTTCGACTCTTTCCTCACTGAGTCAAACACATTCCATTTATGAGATTGGTTTGTTATGTCATGGATCATCCGGTTGAAATATCAGTTTTCAATTTGTGATCCTTTCATAATATTATTTAGAATTCCGGTAGTTTTTTTTTTTTTTTTGCTCAAAGAAAAAGGAGATATGGTGGTGCATTTTATGTCCCCTAGTTTTTTTGGCGATAACAGCAATTTTGGGGACCACCGAATATGTGAAAATGACCTGCATTAGTCTCTCACTGACCATCCAATCATTTTTCACTCCCTTTCATCCTATGAGGCCCACGGAGGCCCACTTAATCTCCCACAAGGGGTAGGACAGCAACGCGCGAGTATGAGTATTAAACCCTGGAAGAATGAGCAGAGAATATCTAACAAAAGCGTCCTTATCACTATACCACGACCATTGGTGGTCCAATATGTTATTCTTAATTGGGCAGTTTCTTTTTCTTGCTATTTTATCCCTTACAAATAGGGTGAGGTATTGTCTCCATAATGTATCAATGAATGAATGGAAAATGTATTCTTGATCCATGGATATTGACATATTGTCGAATCGCGTTAAATGTTTTTTGTTCTTCTTCTCTTCTATCTTTGCTTTTCTCATTTATTTATTTGGTTTTAGTTTCAACTCATCCATGCATCATGCATGCCATAAAAGATTGCGAGCCTTCTCTTTTCATGGCAATGGAAAAACAGCACATATCAGATTTTAGGCTCATAATTCATATATATATATATATATATATATATATATATGTATGTGTGTGTGTGTGTGTGTGCGCGCGCGCGTGTGTGTGTGGATGGGGAGTTACCATTAAGATACCATGCACAACTTTAGAAGCCTGGATTCTTCAAATTGATACATCATGCAAACAAATAACGATGATTGCTAATATTCCCGTGCAAGATTTGTTCGGAGAAAATGCAGAATATGAACAAAAGAATCCAGCCAAGTCATTTCAAAAATAGACCAAGCACTAAAAATTCATTAGGACCACGTCTTTCTGCTGTGATCACAAACCACATCCAATGATGGATAAATCATGCTTCCAGGTTCTAGACACAACTTTAATTCAAGAATAATTAACTTCTCTCTTATGCCCCAAAAATGATATATATATATATATATACACCTTCCTTCCATTATACATGTAGAACAATGGGGAAAGGAAGGACGGCCTTGATACTTATTCGTCAAAATGAGGAATTTGGCATTTCAACTTTTCTAAATCATGACACAATCACGTACGTGCACACACACAAACGAATAATCTTACATTCAAAGCTACATTGCATGGCAATGTTGCTCCAAAAATGGGACCAGCTATATAGGACTTCCTGATCTGTTGGGTTATTGATTCAGATTCAAGGTCGATTTTTCCCGGCCGCTTCGGCTGCGGCTTCAGCTGCGTTGTCCAAACCCAATTTGTTGCAACTTGTAATTTAGGAACTCATTGAAATCACAGAAACTGATTTCATAAGGGCTATATGCATGGCTAGGAAATGAACCGCTAGTCACTTCTCCCTTGTATTCTAATAATAGAGCTTTGTTGACAACTTCTCCCACTTGTGCGTACTACTTGCGGAATTTTGGGGTAACCTGCAAAAGGGTAAGATCTATATGTTTCTTCTTGAGGTAAAAATTATCATCTTAGAGGAACGGAAAAAAAAAAACTATTCTATTTTGACCTTGGCGAATATAAAAGACACTTTTTAAAAAATAAATAAATAAAAGACAGACAATCTTATGTGACCAATTTGATACGTTGTCACATTTGTCAGATGAACAATGTTATTTAAAAAAAAAAATGGCTAGAGACATGAGCAATAATGTCTACATTTTTAAAGAGGAAGCTAAATAAAGCAACCTGTCCAATGTCCACTGCAGAAAGGCCCAGCTCCAACGCCAATAGTGGGAATCCGAAGAGCATAATTAGCTGCAGTTGCCACAGGTGCATGCAGGCAAACATTCCAAAAACCACCACAAAACACCCTGCCTCCGGCAATGCTAGTGCGTTTTCCACAATCTACCGATAGCTCCACCGTCAACGGGCGCCAAGCCGCCCACCGACGAGGATGGATAAACCTTTTTCTTTCCTTTTAATTTTTT